TGTGTTGTGACCATAATTTTGATAAGAAATAGAACGAATTGGCTTGGCCTTGATTTGTGTACTTAAAGGAATTTCATTTTTTGTTTTTCATTCTCTTCAAAACCTTTGAACGTAATAAACATTATGCACAAAAAATAAATTTTGAAAATTAATAAAAATTATTGGCCCACAAATTCGTTTGTTGCAACCTTATCTCTTAACATAAGCCGTTTTATGATCATTTTGTTTTTCTTGGTAACACTTTCCGGCTAATATATGGTGTGGCAAAAAATCTGTTCCAATTTTTTCTCTATCTCGCTCATTCGCTTCTTAACGATATCTATAAATTATGTTAGTAAAATTTTTGACTGACGGACCGGCTGGTAACTACAATCTGATAAGCAAATCTATCAATTCATGTTTGTCAGCAGACTTTGTACGGCGTTATGGTAACTCGTTTCCCCGCTACCAACTTTTGTTGTTGCTTCTTTAGAATGTGGAAATCTTTTCCATAACACTTGGTTGGTGGCGTTTGGTGGGCTATGAGTAATTCTTATTAGAGAATTTCACCATCCAATGTGATTTAAAAAAAAAAGATAAGCAAGACAATTTTTTTTATTTCTAGACAAAATTCTTTAGTTTATTTTTTGTTCATGATGGTTTTTTTTCTTGGAGATTTTTTTACTTAATTAATAATTACACAATATATTAGCTTAATAACTATGAGATTGAATTAATTAAAAATATTAACTATATTTAATAATTTAAACAGTAATTAAAACTAAAACACAATTCGAGTTTTAAAATTTTGTTAGTTGATGAGAGTCTTTTGAGGTTTCTTGGTTATTTTTTCTTTTGGTTTTTAGGAACTTGAGTTTTTTCTTAATTTCTATTTTTTTACACATCTTTCCATTTTTTACTCAAATTGTGTTGTTGTTGTAATAATTTGTTCAATCCAATCGGTAAAGGCCGACACCCGCACAAACACCGATGGCGCATTCTTTTGGCCACATGGCATTTTACCCCACGAAACAATACCAATAATTGTGGGCCTGGTATTACCATAGACATCAATGACTTCATCTTGTATCAGAGGACCACCCGAATCGGCGGTACAAATACTGACACCACCCGTCAGCGGACCGGTACACAAATTTGTATCATGTAACTGCATACCCGAAGAGGCCAACACCTGTTCACACAATTCCATATCCAAAATTGGCATATTTGCCTTTTGCAATTTATGCGGATACTGGGGTACAATTGTCATCGAGACATTACCCCATCCATAGAGGGTACCATAACCCTCCGGCTGGGCATCTTGTTGGGGCAAATTTACCGGTTGCACATATTTGTCAAAATTCAATGGTTCCTTGGTATAAATTAGGGCTATGTCATAGGGATTAACCCCACCAAGATAGAGTTCGTGCCTTACATAATAATCAATGTGGCGCAGCTGTACATTGGGACTTTCATCGCGCGAATGAATGTCATGACAGCCGGCGACCACCACAGAATTTGCCACCAATTGAGGATTGCTAAGGCAATGGGCTGCCGTCAGTATCCAGTGTTCATTGATGATGGTGCCTGCACAATAGTGGACCAAACCATCGTCGGGTGTTAGCAGTTGTATGGACACCACATAGGGTGCTGAGTGGGGTTCGGCTTCACGTTTGGCCAAGAATTTTTTACTCCATCTGGCCGATTGGGCTTGCAAATTGCTAACAGCTAAATTTGCAGCCTGATTGTTATTTAAAAATCCATAGGGTGAACAGCGGCTATTCCTTGATGTTTGCCGGGATAGACTTCGTGTCAAACTGGGAGCACCACCAACCGCCATCAGTTTGCTGCTGCGCGCCGCTCCAAACGGCATTTGATTGTTGTTAGCCAGGACCAACATTGTGGGCAGTAGAGTTGTGAGCAATAACACATAGACATAATTCAGCGAACCAGACATGATCATCCCCTCTTCTACGATGACGTTTAAACACGTCGTACACGTTAATAAATCCGTTTTGAAATAAACTTTTAAATCTCATAAAATTTGATTTGAAATAAATCACCACGGCGCGAGGTGTAAACGTTTTTCTCTGTTTTCTTTTTTTCTCACGATCTTTTAGCAAAGGCTTTTAAATGTTAAATGAACTTAGCGTATTTAAGGCAAGGGCATATTTATAAGAAATTGGCAAAAATTGCTCTCCCTCTCTCCAAAACACGAAGAAAGCCCGATAAGTTTTGGCCAATAGCAAATTTTCTTTTTCTTATCAAAATTCTCGCCCCTGTTAGAGCGCCAAAACACACAATCATCGTTTATGCCCCCTCAACAAATTTGTAGAGAAATTCCGTGATTATTTTCTCACAACACCCCTGAAGTTTACAAACCCCCTAAAAACACATATATCGGCCTTTGCCTACCTTTTATGGTGGTGTGGGTTCTGTCAGCCACACTTTGATTAATTTCAAAAATAAAAAATACCATTTACATGACTCAAGTGAACAAATATTGTATTGAACTCTAGTAGACAATGTTATACTCCTACCCTACCTACCCTCTCCCTCAGGTTTTTTTTAACAAAGTGTATTAATTTATATTTTATGTTTTATTTTTGGGAAGTACCTTCTCTATGGCAAAGAATTTTTCACTTGAAATAAATTTTGCTTATCGCAGTTTGCAGGTATTTTTATTACTACTACTAAAAAAATATATAATATTCAGATCTTATCTAATTTTTTGTTCTGCTATGATCATCTGTCAATAATTAAATTTTATCAAGATTCTCAAGAGCAAGGGTTAGATGGTGGTTTCGATTGTTAAAACTTGAATAAGTGTGTCATATATAACAAAAATAATTCCAAAATTCGCTATTTATTTTATTTATAACCTTTTAGTTTTGTTGTTATTGTTTTCTTTTTTTTAATAAATATTTATTTCAATAATTTTTTCCTATGCTAAACGCCAGCCAGTCAGCCATGTGGCACACGTCATACCCCCCAATTTACCAAGAATTTTTATAGACGACTAATACCACCAACCGACAAATCATAATTTTTCTTTTTACCATTTTTTTCGATATCAGTTGGCCGGGCATACGACAACCAATTGTTTTTTTTTTTTTTTTTTAATATTATATCATATCATTGGTATTTTTAGGGATTTTAATAGTCATATCCACCATTGGCAGGTTGCTTTTCTGGCTACTTAGCTCTACACCTACTACTCATTCAATTTATTTATGAATGAAATTCGGAAATTGAGCGCGCGGTCATCGTTAGTCATATTTGTAGTAATATTCCGGAACGGAAGTTAAGGGGAATAGTCTTTTAAGACATTATTTCCCATCTGCTTAGCTGGCAGGAGATATTCTCAATAAGTCAATGGGGGACAAAATTGAAGTTTTCCCATTAGAAAACCTAATTCAGCCAAGCTGAATTGAATTTTTCCCATGGAAAATCTAATTCATCCGGTCTGAATTGATGGTTTCCTACAGAAAACCTAATTCAGCTGGACTGAATTCAAGTTTTCCTATAGAAAACCTAATTCAGCTGGGCTGAATTCGAGTTTTCCTATAGAAAACCTAATTCAGCTGGGCTGAATTCAAGTTTTCCTATAGAAAACCTAATTCAGCTGGGCTGAATTCAAGTTTTCCTATTGAAAACCTAATTCAGCAGGGCTGAATTGATGGTTTCCTATAGAAAAACTAATTCAGCAGGGCTGAATTGATGGTTTTTATATAGAAAACCTAATTCAGCCGGGCTGTATTGATGGTTTCCTATAGAAACCCTAATTCAGCCGGGCTGAATTGATGGTTTCCTATAGAAAAACTCATTCAGCAGGGCTGAATTGATGGTTTTTATATAGAAAACCTAATTCAGCCGGGCTGAATTAAAGTTTTCCTATAGAAAACCTCATTCAGCCAGGCTGAATTGAAGTTTTCCTATAGAAAACCTCATTCAGCCAGGCTGAATTGAAGTTTTCCTATAGAAAACCTCATTCAGCCAGGGTGAATTGAAGTTTTCCTATAGAAAACCTCATTCAGCCAGGCTGAATTGAAGTTTTCCTATAGAAAACCTCATTCAGCCAGGCTGAATTGAAGTTTTCCTATAGAAACCCTAATTCAGCCGGGCTGAATTGATCGTTTTCTATAGAAACCCTAATTCAGCCAGGCTGAATCGATGGTTTCCTATTGAAAACTCAAAAAATTACCACATCTTGTATTGCCACAATAATTGGTTTTCAGCCAAGTTGCAGTGAGGTTTTCCTACAGAAAACCTAATTCAGCCGGGCTGAATTGAAGTTTTCCTATAGAAAACCTAATTCAGCCAGGCTGAATTGATGATTTCCAATGCGAAACCTAATCCAGCCGGGCTGGATTGATGGTTTCCTATAGAAAACATAATTCAGCCATGCTGAATTGAAGTTTTCCTAGAGAAAACCGGGCGGAATTGATGATTTCCTATAGAAAAACTAATTCAGCCGGGCTGAATGGATGATTTCCTATAGAAAACCTAATTCAGCCGGGCTGTATTGATGGTTTCCTATAGAAAACCTAATTCAGCCGGGCTGAATTGATGGTTTCCTATAGAAAATCTAATTCAACCTAACCTAATTCAGCCGGGCTGAATTCAAAATTTCTCAAAAATGTAACCACATATTGCATTTCTAAGCAGTTAAAGCAATTTATTAAGGCAGGTCTGGATTCCTGAACAGTTGTGGTCGTTATCTTTTTTCCCAGAACTGATAGTGACGCAATTTCAAAAGACAAATCTTTGTGTTTATCTTGCAAATAGTATGCTTGCGTCTTCTTTGCTTACGTATTCGGAAAGTAATTAAAGATCATAATGCGTAAAATTTAGGACGAAGAGGTGATAATGAGATCACGCTAAACAATCGAAATAACCCATAAAAAATGTTTTGGAAAAAAAGATGACAAATGGATAACTAAACCACTAAACGTCATATCCTGACATTTTTGACTTCATTTCCATTAACCGTCTCCTGTATTTCCTTTTTTTCTCTTCAGGTCTGGATCAACCAAGGCGATATCATTCTTGTCGGTTTGCGTGACTATCAAGACTCGAAGGCTGATGTGATTCTCAAATACACCTCGGATGAAGCTAGAAATTTGAAATCGTACGGTGAATTCCCCGAATCTGTGCGTATCAACGACACAGTTACCTTTGTTGAGGACGGTTTCGATGAGGATATTGAATTTGGTGATGAAATCAGTTCAGATGACGATGCTGACTCTGTGGACAATATCTGATTAACAGCTAAACCGAAGCGTGAGAATATAAATCAAACAGACGAAGGAGAAGAAGAAGCGAAATAATAGAGAAAACACGATCAACAACAACAGAAAGAGAATAAGAAGACAAAATAATAGGAAATTGAGGATTACATTCAGGAGAAAATAATAAAGCGAAACAAAATTACAAAAGGAAGTGTATCAGAAATTGATCACAGAGAAAGAGAAGTAGTTTACCAACAACCACTGGAGGAGAGTCGTCAAAAGAGAAAGAGCACGATTTATTTTGTGTATTTTCAAATCAACCTTATTAAGGATTTAACGAAAAGAAGGTGTCTTAACAAATAAATCGTTTGGAACATCAAGAAATAAATCAAATACCATATGCAAAAAAAAAACAACATTATTTTAAAGAAGACAACAACAACAGACAGCAAACGTACTCTCTACATAATAAAAAAATAATAAATAAATTTAAATTAAATTAAATATACAAAAATATCAGCAGCAAGCAGTAAAACAAATTACAAAAAATATATAAAGCAGTGTAAACTTTTTAGAAATAGAAAAAAAAACAAAGCAAATATATTATTCAACAAGAAATACAACAGCAACAACAGACCCATATAATACACCCCATAAAAATTCCAAAAATATATATTATTGGGAAATAAACAACTGAACAACTTCTCTTAAATAATATTAATATTATTAGTATAAAAACAAAAAATATATATTTAAAAAATGAAATTTATCCTGAAAGGCAAAAAACTCAATAAAATAAACAACTATACAACTAACAAGTTTTTTTGTTGTTTCTCTTTCTCATTTTCATTATAAAAAATATTTACACACATATTTATTTAGTTAATAAGTTTTCTTTATTTTCAATTTTGTTTTTATATATAGGTACATATATTTTTTTGTCATTTCCATACGTTATAAATGTGTTCCTTTCATTTTTTGTTTAATTTATTTTTTTAGTATAGTCATGTAGGTCAACAACATATAGAAAACAAAGGCACACATCTTTTGTAAAAAAAATATATATCAGAAACAAATTTAAATAAAAACTGAAAGCGAGCGCCAATAAAATGGAATTTTTAATTAATAACATATTTTTAAAAAATATATTTTTAGGGGCTTTCAATAGGCATGCATTTCTAAAAATATTTTCTTAGAGGCTTTCAATAGTCGTGGATTACAAAAAATAGATATTTTTTGGAAATCTCAATTTTAAAAAACATTTTTTCAATAGCCGTGATTTAAATAAAAAATATTTCTTTCCATATGCGTGGATTTTTAAAAAATATTCTGGTCATTCAATTTTTTATGAATGAAATTCGGAAATTGAGCGGGCGGTCATCATTAGTCATATTTGTAGTAATATTCCGAAACGGAAGTTAGGGAAATAGTCTTTTAAGACATTATTTCCTATAGAAAACCTAATTCAGCCAGGCTGAATTGATGGTTTCCTATAGAAAACCTAATTCAGCCAAACTGAATGGAAGTTTTCTTGTAGAAAACCTAATTCAGCCAGGCTGGATTGAAATTTTCCCTTTATAAAACCAATTCAGACGGGCCGAATTGATGGTTTCCTTGTTTTGTTTAATTTATTATTTTTTTTAGTATAGTCATGTAGGTATTCTCATCACCCGATGAAATAGTGAGCTAATATGTGCCGCGAGTTCACCCATAAGAACTATAAAAAATGGGTTGAGGCGTCGGGTTAGTTGCCCACTCTCGGAAAACCCAACCTACTATGAAAAAGCAAAGAAAAAGAAAACCAAACCCCCCTAATGTTGACGACCCCCGCAAACGTATAAAGGACCACGATCTGCGAATCTGCACTTGGAATGTGCGCACGTTGTACAGAACAGGGGCAGTGTTCGCTTTGGCGGATATACTCAAGAAGTACAAAGCCGATATTATTGCCTTACATGAAATGCGATGGAAAGGGATGGGCGTAAGTAAATCAGGCAATTACGCCCTGCCATGAAACGAGACATGACATTTGGCTGCGGATTTATGGTTAACAGGAGAATAAAAGACCTCGTCTCCATATTCTCCATATTCATAGCGAATTGCTATAATCCGTATAAAAGCGAAGTTCTTTTACATCAGTCTAATTTGCGCCCATGCTCCGACCGAAGATGAAGACAAACAGACCAAAGACATATTTTACAAGCGCATAGAAACAGCATATGATCGTTGCCCTGGCCATGAAATTAAAATTCTGCTAGTAGATTTTAAAGTAAAAAATCGGAAGGGAAAATATTTTTGGTCCCACCGTCGGAAAATTCAGCCTCCATGAAGAAACATCCGACAACGGCATGCGGTTGATTGACTTCGCGGCAGCAAAAAACATGGTAGTTTGCAGAACCAGATTCAAGCATCTCGATATACATAAGGCCACTTGGATTTCTCCCGATCATGTTGTGATAGGCGGAAGGCATTCATCCAGTGTTTTAGACGTCCGATCGATCCGGGGAGCGAATATCGATTCGGACCATTACCTTGTGGCAGCCAAGGTTCGCACCCGTCTTAATGTAGCAGCAAAGGTGCGATCTAATGTAACGTGGAAACTCGACGTCGAAAAGCTGCAAACACAACAGATAGCAGAAGCCTACTCCGCTCAACTTACCCAACTGATTGACGAAAGCACCCCTTGACCCGATAATAATATAGAAACACAGTGGCAGAGAATTGCTTACACCCTACAAACTGCAGCAAAAGCAACACTTGGGTACCAAAGACCACCATCCAGAAATCCATGGTACGATCAGGAATGTCGTAATGCTACTGATATGAAAAACGCAGCTTATAGGGTAGAGGTGTGCAACGAAAAAATTCTCAGAGAACAAATGAGAAACCGCCATATGAAATGACTTACTAAAAGAGAACGAATTTTTTTATACATGTATGCAAGGGCACCAGTTCCCATGGTTGAACAGGACTAGTATAGGGCAACCCTGCGGACAGTAGCAACACGTAATGCGATGGAGAACTATCGGAAGAAAAGGAGAAATGAGAAACGTATTTTCAGAAAAAAAAAAGAAAGAACAAGAAAAACGTAGGCGTGAGCAAATCGAGATGCACAGGAGTCAGAATGAAGTCCACAAATTCTACAAAATCCTCCTGTAGAGATAATAAAGGAAACCTGGTGACAGATACAGATAGCGTGCTGAGGATCTTGAAGGAGCATTTTGGCGGTGAAGAGGATACCCCAGAACCAATAATAGATGACGGTATAGAGTGTGTACCACCTAGTTAAGATGAGGTCAGAATAGCAATCAATCGGCTGAAGAATAATAAAGCAGCAGCTGCCGATGGATGCTGGTAAGGAACATGCGCCAGCTGATTAGTACAATTTGGCTAGAAAAATTCATGATTGGAACCTCAGCATCCTGTGTCCCGTGCACAAAAAGGAGATAAGACGATATGTGCCAACTATAGAGGAATAAGTCTCCTTCCCCTCGCATATAAAGTGTTATCCAGCAAACTGAGTGAACGACTGAAGGCAATTGTCAGTGATATTATTGGACCATACCAATGCGGCTTCAGACCTGGCAAATCCACCATTGACCAGATTTTCACTCTGCGCCAAATCCTGGAAAAACAACCCACGAAAAACACATCGACACATACCACCCATTCGTCGACAATAAAGCCGCATTCGACAGCCCTATCCGTTCAGAGGTGTTTAAAGCCATGTCTGCGTTTGGCATTCCTGCAAAATTAATTCGGCTATGCAGGATAACTTTAACAGGAAACAAGATCAGCAGTTAAAGTCGGAAAGTACCTCTCGGAGCCCTTTAATACCAAACGAGGATTTAGACAAAGTGACAGTTTGTCTTGTGATATTTTTAACATCCTGCTGGACAAGGTCATACGAGAGGCAAAAGTGAACAGAAATGGCACACTGTAAACCAAACAACACATTTTACTCGCCTACTCGAGATGACATCGATATAATGGGTCGAACATTGCGAGCGGTAACAGCCACCTTTGAACAAATTGAGAAGGAGTCTGCCAAAGTGGGTCTGGCACTAAATGGCTAGAAACAAAGCTGATGGTATCAACTCGCAAGACGTCCAGTAGACTCGGACCAACTGTGGAGCTTGAGAACTACAGCTTCGAGGTAGTTAAAGATTTTATATACCTTGGTACCGCCATACATAAAACTACTGACATAAGTTTTGAAATTCGTAGAAGGATAGTGGTGGCCAACCGGTGCTACTATGGTCTGAACAAACAACTCAAAAGCAAGGCCACCTCCCGCCAGACCAAACTCACACTCTACAAGACGCTGATACTACCCGTGCTATTATATGGATCTGAAGCATGGGTGCCTAATTTGTAGCGGTCTTAAATAGACGTGGATTTAAAAAATATATTTTTGTACTTTTTTTTTTTTTATTATTTAATTCAATATCAATACAAAGAAAGCTTTCTAAGCCTATTATACATGTATTGTAAGATAATATCTATGCAAATTAGTACACTTCAATAAAATAAAAATTATATCAAAAATCTAAATATGAATGTGAAATGTGAATGGCCCCCCAGCCATATGAATAGTGCAAGAATTAGTAAAGAACTCCCTATATCAGTCAGCAACAATATTTATGAGTCAATTAAACCAATCTTTAAGTTTCTGCTTAAATGAAGCATAAGCATATGCGAAAAGTTTTAAATGATTAGGAAGATAGTTCCAAATGCGATGAACACGAACTATATAAGAGTGTTCATATAAAGAGGAACGTATAAGTGGAATATTAATTTGAACATTTCTCGTAGAATGAATAAAACAAAAATTATCCACTAACAACTTAGGTTGCTGCGACTTCATGATTTTGTAAAAATGCAATATAACTCGTTGCTTAATGTAATCTCTGAAATTACAGCCTAAAAACTCATGTGTAAATTCCAGAGCTCCTACATGATCATTTATTTTTAAAGAATATACATATCGGATAATTTTACGAAAAATTCTTTCCAATTTATCAATATTATAACACCAAGTACCTGTGTAAACCTCAATACCATAATTAATCAGACTCATGAGTAATGAATATGCCATACGCTTTCTAACTACTCTAGGAGTATATGACTTTAGGCAATAAAGTCTTCTTAAAGTAAGACAAGTCCTGTTAGAAAGAGTAGTTATATGCTTGTCAAAGTTCAAATTATGGTCGAGTACAATACCAAGACACTTGATGGAATCAACAAATACCACTTCTACACCATTAAGAAAAATATTTGGATAGGAAAGGTCACAACTTCTATTATTAAAACTTATTGCCTTAGTTTTTGCAGGATTGACTTTAAGTTTATTATCCTCTGTTATTTTAAAAATATTATAAAGGTGAGAATTTATAGAGGTTTCTGAAGTGTTAGAATTGAATAATAAAAATATATCATCAGCATAAACAAAAGGTTGACAAATTTGATTCTTCATGGCTGTTATAATATCATTAATATAAATAATAAAAAGTATTGGACCCAGTACCGATCCTTGAGGTACACCAGATGTGACCAATCCAAAAGAAGAGCAAACTCCATTCACTGTGACATATTGGCTACGGTCTGACAAATAAGAGAAAATAAGCTTACTAGCAGTTTTAGAAAAATTAAAGTTATCGTTAAAATATGATGGTTTATGCAGTCAAAGGCTTTAGTCAGATCAAGTGAAACCATAGTGCAATTTACATGGTCATTTAACTGTTTCCTAACAGAGTCAGTTATAGCTAATAATGCAGATGTTGTGTTATGATTGTAACGAAACGCAAACTGATAGGGACTAAGAAGAGAATATTTTTGAATATGTTCAAATATTTGTTTTTTCATTATATTTTCAAGGATTTTAGACATAGCTGGCAGTATGGTAATAGGTCTAATATTGTTTAAGTCATGGTTGCCATCTTTTGGTATTGGAACAACGCGTCCTAGTTTCCAGGCTAAAGGATATTTGGATGTAGTGAGTATTGAGTTTATCAAGTGTAATAGATAAGGGGCAATGATAGGATAAATGATTTTTATAAACTTAATTGGGATAGCATCATAACCTGCGGAATCGGATTTAATAGAACTAATAGCCAGTATTAGATCAGTAATGCTTATATTTTTGAAAGAGAAGGAATTTTCATTATCGGAAAAGGTATCAAAATTGAAATCGTGATCATCTCTAGGATTCATGTTACTTAAAAATGTATTAGCAATCTGCTCAACATCACATTCACAAATATCATTATTATCTCGATCAACACATCCCAATGAACGAATTTTTTTCCACATTTGAGCATTGCTAAGGTTAGAAAACTGTTTGCGACCAAATTCAGCGCGAACCTTTCTGATAATAGCTTTAGCTCTGTTTCTCAAGCGACAATATTTTTTCCAATTATCATTGGTACAAAAACTTAGGTATTGACTATATGCTGCATCTCTATCTTTTCTAGCTTGACGTATCTTGGAGGAGTTTATCCACAAACTGTCATTAAAATTTTTTCGGATTCTTGATGTTGGAACATAATTATGAGCAACATTTACGACGTTAGTTAATTGCGACAATTGTAAATCAATATCTTCCGAAAGAAAGATCGAACGAAGTTCATTATAATTAATATGAGTCTCAATATCTTCAAGTCTAATACTATTGTAATTTTTAACATCAATCCAATCATTGCGAAGAATAGGTAGAAAATCAACAGAGATAAGAATAAAGCTGTGATGAGAGGAGAAAAAAGGAAATTGAACTTGAGCTTTATAAGCAACGCATTGCGGTTTACTAACCAGAAAATAGTCTATTAATGATGTGCTATTATTTTGCAAATGGACATGTGTAGGCAAACTGTTATGGATAGGATAAAGACCACATCTAGAAGTAATAGCCCGAGAATTTTGTGATTTTAAAGGATTGAATAGATTATAATTAAAATCACCCATTATAATTATATTGGAAAATCTATCAAAGATGTCGGAATGGTGATTTTCAAAAATATCCACCGAACCATTTGGCAAATACACCACCCCTACAATCACAGACGATTGCTTGCCAAAAACTTCTATGAAAAGAGATTCACAGATACCATACTGCAAACTACGAAATATAACTTTGAATCGTAAATTTGTAGAGACATATAAACAAACACCACCACCACGATGGGAATGTCTATCAGTGCAGATTCGATCACTTCTAATTAATTTGTAATTAGGAACCATTAAAGAGCTTGAATATATATGTGGCTTTAACCAAGTTTCCGAAACACCTACAATATCCAGACCGGAATCATAAATAGTGTTTTTAAACTCCTCAAGTTTGATACCTGAATTTGATGGACATATGCTCTGAGCATTTATGTGTCCAACATTCAAATTATTTATAAAATTTGATGACATATTTTTCAAAAATCTATTGTCGCTGACTATAGGTCCAAGATTCAAATTATGGGTCATTATAGTTATTACTATATTCATACTTGTGGGGGAGCCAAAAATTAATAACAATTTTAATATAATATAAAAAATAGAATTTCATTTTCAATTCAAATTAACTACATAATTCTACCACCTGATTGAAAAGTTATAACAAAAATAAGGTGTAAATATCATAAAATGTATAAAGTAAAAAAATGAATATTTTAAATTATGAATTCTGAATTAATTTTGAAAACATTTGCAAATTCTTTAAAATTCAACTTCTTTACATCATTATTTAACATAACGATTTTAGCACTAAGTTGTTCTCTGTTTATAATACTGAAAGCAGATATTTTGGATTCCCTCTTCAGCTTAGAGCAGGACTTAAATAGTTTAGTGGCTAGGCTGGAATAGTTGTCATTAAGGTACACTCTCTGATCATTAGATCCACCAATAATATCAGATACTTTGAGCGATTTGTTTTTGAAGTAAGCCGACATAACTTCGTCTCTTTTTCCAATATTGTTAAATTTGAGTAAAATTGAATGCCGTCTTCGAATATACAAAACATTACAGATGTCATCAGGAACCACATCTACTTTAAGAAAAGCACATAAAAATGTGGCCATATCTTTCAGCTTTTCGATATTGTCGGGCAGTCCAGTTAAAATTACATCCGTTCTATTTATCCGGTGCTGCAAAATGTGATTCTGAAGTTCTAGCTCAAAAATTGCATTGTTGTTAGACATCTCATTTGACTTAATCAGATCTCGGCAATTATTTACTTCAACTCTGATTTCTTGCATACTATTTGAAATCTCAGCACGAAATTCCGCAGCCATAGTCTCTAAGCTCTTCCGAATCTCTCCTTGTTCCTTTTTTATATCATTTGCAAAAATACGAAACGACTCTTGAAGAGTAGAAAATTGATTTCTGACTTCAGTCTTGAATGATTTGTCGGAATTATCTGGGGGACTTTCCATGCATCCCACGCATGTGTAAGCAAGATTGCGGTTTTTATCAAGCATGTTGAAAACAGCTTTGGAGACATTCTCACAATCAGCATGAAACCACACATCACATGATCTGCATAATAGACACCTGGTTCCTGTGGTTTCAGAATTGCAAATTCCACAAGGATAAACCATCTTAAATTCAATATTACAAATATTTGTTTAGGCGGTAATGTTTTTATTTGTTTTTTTTTCTATTAACAGCTCATAGGCAGCTTATACACTAGAACATTTTCTACAGAATATTTTGTTCGGACGTATTATTTTTGTTTTTCTCCGAATCTAACAAAATATGCCTTGTAGTTTTTATCAATTTAAAAAAAAAAACTACATTTTTGGCATTCAATGTCTTATAACAGTTTTCTGATTATTTTGTGTTCAATTGTGTTGTGTTGTCTTCCGAAAATCAAAATTTTCTTCAAAGAACATTTTTTCCCTAAAATAGAAATCCCCTTCTGAATTCCGAATAAATTACAAAAATGCAACAAGGGTAAGTGAATTTTGACTGAAACCTATCCTAAAATTATTCCATCAATTATTACCCCTCTCCCCCACCATTAGTCAAGTTATGTGTGAGGTGCCCATGGACGACCAGGCGGCCTGTGGTGATTATTGTGATCCATGTCAAGTACCTGGAGAATTTACACCATGTCCACCACCACCAGCCGATTGTGCCAACTGCCGTTGTGATTGTGGTGATTATTCCAGTTGTTGTTATCAGCAGCCACCACGTACCCAACCTATACGACCCCATCCAAGCATGTTGCGATCAAATGCTCCCATGGAAACGGATACAATTTATAAACGATCGTATGTGCAAAATTGTGGTGCCGAATGTTATAGGCCTCAGCCCATTCGACCATGTAATAACATCACCACCATCAAGGAACCTTTGGAAAAATGTACTGTACAAAAGTTATCCTACATGCCGCATTGTAATGTCCAACGTAGTGAACCAATTCGTCCCAAAGAGAATGGTTTACGTTTTCAGGGGCCAATTTATGCGGTGTCTTCGCAGAAACATGATTTTGTACCGAAGGGCTTCTGTCGCCGACAACCGATTAGACCCTGTCCGGGTATATATAAAAATTGTGATCCCCTCGAGAAATGTACCGTGAATAAATTATCCTATATGCCGGTGGATGTTTGTAAACATCCACCACCCAAACCAATTTTGCAGACCTACAATTATGTACGACCCACGGGTCCCGGAGAACAATGTACCATACAAAAACTTAGCTACATGCCGTTGTGTATACCACCCAAGGAGCCCATGCCTTGGGCGGAGAGGCAACGTTGTGCACCACCAAAATATGAAAATCTTTGCACCACCTACAACCTGAGTTATATACCAAATTGTCAGATATCCCGTATGGCCCCCATATTACCCATAAATGGCCTAAAGGCCTTGGGCACGGAGACTAATGATGGCAATACGGTTTACAAATTAAGTTACATTGGGGCGGATGGTCGTTGCTGCCGCCCCGCTCCAATATTACCCATAAACGGCCTGGAAATGCCCAAGGGGCCAATGGAAAAATGCACTGTACAAAAGCTATCCTATCAACCCAACTGCTATGCGGAACGTACCACGCCCATCCGACCCAAAGAGAATTGTGTTAAACCATGGGGTCCCATGTATTTTATGACCACACAAAAACATGATTTTGTCTGTAAGCCGTTATGTCGCCGCATGCCCATTAAACCCCTACAGGCTATTGGTCGTGCCATAGGCCAGGTGGAGAAATGCACAATCAACAAATTATCCTATATGCCTCTGAATGTTTGTGAATATCGTCGCCCATCGCCAATTAGGCCAAGACCTGGTGTCTGCCCACCGGAGGGGCCAATGGAGAAATGCACCACATATAAACTGAGTTATATACCAAATTGTTTGCCAGCCAAGGAACCGCTGCCATGGGCTAATGCCTCGAATTATATCAAACCATCGGGACCCATAGAAAAGTGTACCATACAGAAGTTGAGTTATCGTCCGCCGGGCATATTTTCAAGATGTGGAGGTTAGTGTTACTAGAAATGCTCGCTTGATCAGAAAAAGTACACATATAAAAATTAAGACCCAAGGGTCTTACTAATTTATGTTCTATAGAAAAAATATGAAACCCAAGGGTCTCGGATTTTTTCTATGAAAAACTATAAGACACAAGGTTCTCGGAAAATAAATAGGCCTAAGGGCTTCCGATTTTCTTCTACAGGAAAAAAACAAGAAAATCCACTGATTCCTCTTTCTTTTATAGGTTGCACCCATCAAAATGCTAATCAGATGCCAGCCTATCCAAAGGCAGGTATTTGTAATTAAATCCACGGAATTAAGGCTCTTCCAATTAAAGAGTAAAACAAATTATTTGATAATTTCCGATTCCATAAATAAGTTCCGACCATCTTAAAAAAATCCGGTATTTCTTTTTGTTTAATAAATGTATTAAAAACACTACATTATATGTTTTATTTATTTAATATTAAAAACTAACAAACAAGGTAAACTATTCGTCTAGGCCATGTGTATGAGTTGTCGCTTAATTCCCTCACGTCGCTTCTTGTCACGTTTTTTACGTTCCTGTGTCGCCTCACGGAATAGCTCAACACCTTCACGCTCCTCAATGTCGTGTTGGATCAATGCCAAACTGTGTAGATTTAAGCCAATAACATCTCTCAGGGAGCTAACATCTTTTTTCAGAGCCCTGATTAGCTGCTCCAGTAGAGGTTTCATATGCTTCGCCCCGGTTATGGGTTTCATGTGGACCTTGAAGAGGAACAACACCACCTTCGTCAGCAGTTCAATTTCATCGGAACGTTTTTCCAATACGGCAGGTAATTTTTCCAACAGTTCGCACACATTTGAGAACGGTAACAGCAGTAGAGCTTCCTCTAAATCGGATGCCCTGATTCTGGCCAGTGTGACTAATATGAAATCTTGGGGATTTGTAACATTTAAGGCACGCATTAAGGGATGTAGCTCGGGTTTCTCATCTTCTTCGGCTTCATATTTTTGACAAATTTCCAGACATTCTAAAATAGATTCGGCAGCCTTTTCAGAACCCACCGTTTTACGAGATGCCAACTTTAAACCGGGTAGCAGGGGTACCGCGTGATCTTCTCCAGTGGCCAATTGTTGATTTTCCATTTCTTCGCGTTCCTCTTCTTGAATATCTTGTAAAACAATGGGTTCATTGGTACGTTCAAATAAACGCAGGCAGCGATCCGAGCCACATGAGACCAAAAACCGACCATTAGGACTTACAGCCAAACTATAGGCCTCTCCAATGTGTCCTGGCAGGGTGATGATTTTATCAAAGGTGTCAGCATCCCATTGTTTGATTTTGCCATCCTTGCCACATGTGAAGAACATATGGGTATTGGGTATAAATTGTAGACCCATAACGGAATCATCATGAGCAAAGAGTGACCGATGGCAATCACCGAAATCCAGACCCCATATCTTGACATTACGATCTGAGGAGCCGGTGGCAATCAAGGAGGAATCATAGGAAATATCCATACACAGTACCGGTAATTTGTGGCCATATAGCGATAAATAGAATTTGAAGGTATCCAAAAAGAATATTTTCACCGTTGAATCGAGAAGGCCCACAGCCAAATATTTCATATCAGGACTGACTCGGACACATAACACTGTCTCTTCCAACTTCAAGGTGTTTTTGTGTAACAGCGATAAGACCTTGCCGTGTTTCAATCTTTGTAAATTTTCCTCCCCATCATCTTCTTCCATAGCCTTGGCATCTTCAGGATTATCAATCAGTTCGAATGTCCAAATCTTCACCGTCGAATCACTGCTGCCGGTAACACAACCTTTTTGATCGGGCAACAAGGCAATGGACCACAATTCACTGTCATGGGCTGGAATCTCTTCAACAACATCTGCCGAGCCGACATCAACGATTAAAAGTTTACCCGATTTCAAACCCAACAACATATATCTATCACCCGGCACAAAGGTAGAACACAAAACATAATCAGCCGGTACGGTGCGCAAACATTGCATTGAATCACGATTCCAAAATTTAAACGATTCCGCCGATCCTGAACCAATGGCCAAAGAATCGGAACTGAAGCAAACGCTACGTACCTCAGAATGATGGCCTTGACGGTTGATGGATCTCAGTAGTTTTACAGTCTCCTCCTTGGCTGAGGCTTGTTTCTTAAAACTCGCCTCTTGGCTGTACAAATGTAGGGTGTTGTTGGCCAAACTGACCAGAACTCTCAGTTCATCTTTGGCACCAAGCAAAATATCAATGGATTTTATCTTCTGTTTAACCTTGATGCTTTCCAAACGTTTTATCTCATCCGATAAGCTAAGATCTTTGCTTAAATCGGCATCGTTTTCTGTTTCATCGGAAGATTTCTTGGCTTTTTTCAAACGTTTGACCAATCTTTTCTTGGCCTCGTCTTCGGTGCAAATGTAAAAGTTTTCAATTAAATCATTTGTACCATGACATGAGATTACCCTTTCCGAAGCATCAGCCACCAGATTGACACATCTACCTTTACCGGCTCTTTGTATGACACCACAATTGGCCACCGATATGGGACTAATTGTATCGTCATCATCTATGGACAGACCCTCCACAGCAGCCTCAATTGGTTGATCCACTTGTGTCGTATCTCTAGGCTTAATGCGATAAACATTCAGCGTCGATTCCCCACTGCCAGCCACCATCAAGTCTTTGACAAAAGCCAATGCCCACACCTCGGTGCGATTGTCCACAATGGTTTTAAAACAAAATTGTGTTTCCAAATTCCAAAATTTAATTTGTGTATCCTTGGAACAGCTCACCACGATACTCTGCTCATTGAAACGTTCCATAAAATGGGCATCAGTGACGGGAGCATTATGGCCAATTAAACGTTGACGACCAGCCTGTTCCACAACATCGACAACGGTCATTTCACAATCTAAACTACCGCACACCAAACGTATACCCTGCTCGTCGTAACGCAAAATGGATATGGCACTTTTATGCAAGGCCAACGAGCACACCGAATTGTGGGGATTTGTCAAATCGAATATTTCCACAACACCATCATTATAGCCCACAGCAACGTGAAGGCGATCGGGTGAGACTCGCAAAGCAGTTACTTCTTGTTTATCACGTCTTAGTGTAAGTACCCGTTCACCCAACCTAAGAGGAAGAAAAAGAGAAGTATTAAAATAATTATTTATTTGTTGGAATTATTACTATATTCCATTCAAACTTACCTTAAATCCCACAGAATCACATTTTCTGCTGCCGCAGAGACCACATACCTGCCCTCGATTTTATTGTAAATTACAAAATTCACATTGGAACGACCACTGGCCACGATATTAAAACTATCGATGGCCCGATAGGCCAAATATTGTTTTGTTAAACCCATATTTTGTTGTTAATTTCTTTTATTAATATAATAAATTATATATTTTTCAATTTAAATTCTTCTATTTCAAATGTTCCTTGTCCGTGCCCGTCTGCCTGCACGTGTTGTTTTGTTTTTTGTTGTTCTGAGTTTTCGAATTACAACCCTGTAAACTATGGTGAAAGCAAACGAGACGAGGACCAATCGCGGCGAATGAAGTGGAAATTAAACAAGACGAGGACAAATCTTGTGTTTACGAATGAGGTCAAAGCGAACGAGACGAGAGCCAACCGTGGCGAATGAGATTCAAAACAAACGAGCCGAGGACCAACCAACAGCTGATAACTTATTTGATCAGCTGTTTCACAGCTGTTGATAGGGTTATGTAGTTCGATTTGCAACTAATCGATTAATCGCATATATTTGTGGGACATTGAAGATAAAGGAAAAATTGGGGATGGAGAAAGAATTCTTCTTTCCCAGTTTCACTTGTTCTTTTCTATGAAGGCTATACAATTACCCAAAAAGGAACGTATTGCCCCTTCGATTGTCAAATGATCTTTTGACTTCAGCTTTTATATAAGAGAATACCTACAAAAGGCGTCCTCCAGCTACAAAAGACTTCATCCAGCTCGGCTATTAAAACTAACCTAATTCATTTGTAAAGACTCATTTCAGCTCGATTGAAAAAACCAGCTTCAGCTTGACTGAATCCTTTTCGTTCATCTATAAAGACCCTCGAGCTACGCTATAAAGACTACCATAAACTCTTATGTAAAAATGCCGTTCAACTCACCTGTATAGACTCTCTTCAAAGCGTCTTAAAAGACACCCTGCGGCACTTCAATAAAGAATCCCTTCCGCTCATCTATAAAGAATCCCTTCCCCTCATCTACAAAGACTGCCTCCAGCTTGGCCATAAGGACTACCCCAAACTCAGCTCGCTTGTAAAACCCACTTTAAGCTCGCCTATTAAGAATCACATCCGCTCATTGATAAAGACTATCTTTAGCTAGGCTATAATGAATTCCCTCGGTCAGCTATAAAGACTCCCTCCAGGTCGGCTGTAAAGACTATCCTGCAGCATGACTTTAAAGACTCACTTCAATTCGTCTGCAATAACTCCTTTTAACATTCATGTACAGGGTGAGATAAAAACTCTGCAACAAAACGCAATACTTTTTACATTTTTTTTTTAAATTTTATTGAATGAAAGCAACAAATGTCGAAAATAGCATCAAATTCGCTGCCCGAATGTTACTCTGCGGTATTTTGGCCAATTCCCGGCGAAGCGCTTGCTTGAGATTATCGACACTTTGGTATTTTTTAGTGCCAACCTTGCTTTCTAAAATACTCCAGACACAATAGTCCAACGGATTGATATTCGGAGATTTTGGTGGCTATTGTGCGCTGGAAATGATGCGAGGAACCTCATTTTGTAACCATTCATGGGTTGCGCGTGCTGAGTGCGATGGTGCTGAGTCCTGTTGGAATGCCCAAGGTCTGCGGCCAAAAGGTTTCCATGCCCAAGGCTTTAATACACCCTCCAGATTATTTTCGCGATAATATTCGGCCTTTAGTATATACCCCCTTCGGGGCGTATGTAAAGAATCACTTCAAGACACCCTTCAGTTCGTCTATAAAGACTACTTTCAGCTCTTCTATAATAACCTCCTTCAGCTAGTCTTAAGAATTTCTTTTAGTTCATCTATAAATACTCCCTTCAGCAGGTACATAAAGATTCCCTTTTCTGGTTCTTTAAATAGGTTCCCATTCAGCAGGTCTATAATTTTTCAGTGTAACAATTTTTTCTATAAAGTAAAAAAATATAAAAATCACTGCTTCAGTTCGCTTATAACGAATTCCCTCAGCTCGTTAAAAAAATTACATTTTACAAAATAGGTATGTTAGCCCGATAACAATTTTTTCAAATTATATGGTAACCTATCAAGTCACTAAATATCAACATAGTGAAGCTGAAATCGTTTTTTTAAGGATTCTTAGACTTTGTCTACGCATGATATATGGTCCTATACCTCCTATACTAAATAGGAACTGGACTAGTTGGAGGAGGAGTAAAGAAGAAAAAAACAGTAGATTCTTTTAGAAGGGGAACAGACCAAAAAATTCGTTTTTTCTGGTCATCTAATAAGACTACCTAATTCAGTGATGAAATAATAAGGTCTGTCTTTCAATCTGTCAAAATTTTCCTTGTAATATTTCACATGATTGGCAACATTGCCATCGAATTCAAGTAGAAATTATGCACTTTGACATTCAAGTCATCAGCTGTGCTAAATGGGCTACCTATTCATTGTGCCATGAGTTTATCCATAAAGACGACCTAATTCGTCTATTCAGAGCAATATTTATAGGTGACCTTCCCAGCTAGCGAAAGTCAGCTGTTTTCCTCAATTCTAATGTCAAAAAGAGTTACCATCACTGTTTTGTTCAAATAAGACACAATTGAATTACAAAGTCTAAATGACCTTTGTATGTTGCCTCTGTTAAAGGTTGGCAATGTGTGTGTGACAAATGAAATGAGCATGCGCCATTTATATAGCATACTTTTAGGAGTTGCATGCATAAAATCAACACACAGCATCCCTTCACAAATTTTTCATCATCGAATATAAGAGGCAAAAGACAAAAATTGCAAACGTTTTTAAATAAAATAAATTTAATAGATAAAACAAAATAGATAAACAAAATGTCAGAATATCAAAATGTGCCTGGTGCTGGTGGTATGTATTTAATAATGTTCTTTTTAATTGAAATAAAAAAGGAAATTTAAAATTTTTCGGTTTTCTTTTTTATTCATGAAAAAATATAAAAATCCCAAATCACCAAATAAAAGATGACTTAAATACCGAATCGGTGGAGGTGTTACGTGAACGCCTGAATACCATGAAACGTTTAATGGCCGAGCGGACAGCCCAACAGCAGGATAATCCGGCCAGTACCGAAGAAATTTGGTCCACACGGCGACACACATCGACGGGTATTATTGATGGCAACTTTTTGAGTATGGCCTTTGGTGGAGCGCTGCTGGTAATTGTGTCCGTATCGGTATATGCTTTTTATAATCTCTATCATGCCATATTAAAGAAATTCCCCTCAAAACATGAAGAGTTGTAGAGTGAAAAAAAGGAGCACACACAAATTTTAGATAAATTTCCAGTGAAGTTTTTTAACAAACAAGATTTTAATAACAAATGGAAGAAAGAAAAAAAGCATTTCAATTTTTTTAAGCTTAAGTATTGTTTTCTTTATTACTTTTTTTAATTGTTTTCGTTTCTCATCAAGCAATTCTTTTTGATATTTATATAAATATGAGAAAAAAGGTATAAACGAAAAAAAGAGGAAATATAATAATAATAGTATATAATAAAAAATCACAATTTGTAAACGATAATGATGACGACAACAGTTGAAGTTGTTTGAAGACAAATAATTAAAGAAAAATTAATAAAGTAAATTTGACAACATGAACAATTTTGTTTTCTTTCTTTCTTTTTTGTAATTGTGATTGTTCTTTACGTGTGTGTGTAAATGTTTATCATTTGTGTTCAAAGAAGCATCCTGTGTGTTTGTGTGTATTTTGGCCACGTGGGCCTGGCTAATAAAAATTCTCATAAATCAAATCGGCAATAATAATCAAATTATAATAATATTAATAATTAATAATAGTGGTAGCAATAAATCTATATACAAACAAGTTTGCAAAATAACATTTTAATACATATCCGTTTTTTGTTTTTAATTTTTAAATTCTAAGCAATTGTGAATTGTGACTCGTTTTGGTTATCGTTCTTATTTTTTTTTGTTTGTTTTTTATTTTTTCTTGATTAATTATACAAAAGTTTTAAAGAGGGATAAGTTTTTTATTATAAAAAATACTTTTTGAAAGACTTTTTTATTTGTGTTATTATTATTTTTTCCAATTATAAAGTAGTAGTCGTTTGTAGGAAAAACCAAGCATAGACATTAGATCCACATAAGTAGGCATATATATAGTATATAGTTATGATATAATATATAGTTATTTTATTATATTTATTAATTTTATAAATCCTACATTTCCAGTGTTTTTTTTTCAAATTTGATTGATCTCAACTTGTGTTTTTATTCACTAAACTATTTTTTGTAGAATCGAAAAATAGCAGGAATTCTAAAAGTGTTTATAAATTAGCAATTAAAAAAAAATAACTCAATCGTATATATAAATTTAAGGCATTGGTATATTGGATGGCACATATTCAAGGAAGTTCGCCGGAAATTGTCCCTGACGGCCATTTACCTCACCATATAACCAGTCTTCATTGATTCTATACAATATGGTGACCATTTCATTTTCCTAAAAAATAAAAATTGATTTTTAGTTTGAGGTTATGTCACAAAATTCTCTTTTAAATGGGGTACTTACTTTTATTGCCAAATCACCCTCCACCTCGGCGGGGAAATTGTATAAACATCTTATTTGCAAGTTATTACTTGTACTATTTGTTGTTGTTGTTGTTGCTGTTTGATATGTGGAATCATATGTTGTTGTAGATGATGAATAGTTTGGAGATACCGCACTTGATGAGGTTGCTGATAACGATGGCGATATTTGTGATTTTCCCGTACTTTGCAGTGGCACTTTAATTTCAACATAATTAATGGGAAATATACCCTCACAGCCGGAACGTGTGCGACCCTTGTACCACGCTTCACTAACCTGTTCAAGTAAATAGATTTTTTCGTTTTCCTGAAATGCGAAAGGAGAAAAACACAGGATGAGAAATCAGGGTACAAAAATATAAATGGGTACTAAAAATAGTACTGGAAAAAATCTTCATAGGAAAAAGTGTGCAAAAAAATATATTTTATTATAGAATGAGTACTAAAAAAACTTATTCTTTCTTAAAAAGGTGTACTAATAAAGAATAAGATTACAAAAAAATATTAAATGCGTAGCAAACAGGTCGGAAAAATTAATCATTACAACAAAAGCGTACTAAAACATAAAATACTTTATAGAATGGGTACTAAAAAAGTTATCGTTCCTTAAAAACGTGTACTAAAATTATATAAGAAATTTGGAAGTGGACTAAAAAGTAATCACTCTCTAAGGAAAATTACTAAAATTTATTATTTTTTTTCAAGAAATCGTTCTAAAGTGTAACCTTTCTCTAAAAAATGGTGTACTAAAAATTTGCCAGTCACAATATAGTGTGACTAAAAAAAGTGTACTAAAATTAAATTAGAAATTCGAAAATTGGCTGAAAAGTACCTTTTCTTTATGGAAAATTACTAAAAGGTGTCCGTTTTCAGGACGCGTACTGAAAAGTACCTATTCTCTAATAAAAAATACAAAAATTATATCTTCAAGAAAATGTTTCTAAAGAGTACCCTTTCTAAAAATTTGTCAGTCGGGAAATGTTATAAAAAATTAAAATGACAAGAGGAGTACAAAAAATATTAAATGGGTACTATAAATTGTACTCTTTCTCAAAAAAAATGGTATGAAATATTAAAATGACATGAGGAGTACAGAAAATATTAAATAGGTACTAAATAGTCCGGAAAAAATTAATATTTATAAAAAAGTGTACTAAAGAGAAGAAATTTTTTTCTATCTTGGGTACTAAATAGTCCGGAAAAAATAATATTTATAAAAAAGTGTACTAAAGAGAAGACATTTTTTCTATATTGGGTACTAAAAAATTGTCCTTTGTTAAAAATATGAAAATAAGAAGTTCGAAAAGTAAACATTCTATAAGGTAAATGTACTAAAATTGATAATTTCTTCAAGAAAACGTTCAAAAGAAAAGGTGTACTAAAAATTTGGCAGCGGAAAAAAAGAGAGAAAGAGGAAATTAAAATGACAAGAGGAGTACAGTACAATATTTAATGGTTAGTAAATAATTCTTGAAAATGTATCTTTACTAAAAAAGTGTGCTAAAGAATTCAATTTTTAATGGAGTATGTTCTACAAATGTTTTCATTAAAATGTGTCATTTCTTAGAGAAAATGTACCCGAAAAATACCCAATCTTCAACCAAATGGTGTACTAAATATTTGCCAGTCGGAAAATAGCAGTACTAAATTAGGTACAAAAAATACCTAATCTTCCACAAAAAGGTGTACTAAAAAATTGCCAGTCGGAAGTACTAAAATATGTTCTAAAAATACACATTCTACTACAAAAATGTGTACTAAAAATGTATGAGTCGGAAAATGGCAGTACTAAAATATGTACTAAAAATACCCAATCTATTTCATAGAGAAAAATGTACTAAAAATATCCAATCTAGTTCATAGAGAAAATGTACTAAAAATACCAAATCCTTCACAAAAATGTGTACTAAGCATTTGACAGTTCAAAAATGTGTACTAAAAATCTTCCGCAAAAAGGGGCACTAGAATGTTTTTTACATTTTCTAAAAATGTAAACTTCACCTTCCAAAAAGAAATATTTTTTAACACACACAAATTAGCCTTTCTTAGACAAACTGTACTAAAAAATAAAAGTGTACTAAAATGCCAGTTTAAAAATATGTACTAAAAATCCTCCAAAAAAAGGGGGTACTATTTATTTCTAAAAATGTACCCTTCAAAAAATATATATTTAACCTTTGTACCTGATCGTGTACTAAAATATTTTCCCCATGAAATAGAAGAATTTACTATTTTTTACTAAAAAGTACTAAAAGTATTTTTAACGCGCAAAAAGTAGTCTTTCTTAGAGAAATTGTACTAAAAAATAAAGTGTACTAAAATGGGTCATGTGTTCATCATATATGTGTACTAAATGCTCACAACTTTACTATAAATGTACTAAATGCGCCCACTCTCTTTAAAAAGGTACTTTCCCAAATTGTTTCTAAATGGACCTGAATTTTTCAAAAAGTACTAAAAATTCCTTTTTTGTTAAAAAGTGTACTAAAATGTTAACTGTGCTCATAAATTGTTCCAGCTTCTTTAGAAGTGTACAAAAAGTGTAGCCCAACAGCAAAATAATTATGTACTCCATTTAGCGCAGCTGACTATTCAATTAACTGTCAAAATACATAGTTACTACCATGACACGATAAATAGGTAGCCTTGGCGGGACGTTTATTAAACATTACCCTCTCTTAAACATATTTTACCCTCTCAAGAACCCAAAATGCCAAATTGCAGCCATTTGGAGTCCGTACATTTATATCTTGACTATTCCAAAAACATGGATCGAAACCAAACGCACCTAGGATTATTAACGTAAGGTTGAAACAACGGACATAGAATTTTATTCTCTTCTGTAGAGTAAAATTCCCATTGACCCACCCATAATAGATTTTATACAAAACTAATATACCCCCCTCCATATTTATGGTGGAGCTGTTTTCTTTTCTTTTTTTTTCGGAAACTTACCCTAAAACATAAATCACCCTCTTCGGTACTTTGGAAATCATATAAAGCTATACCATAGGGTCTCTCATCGCTTGCAGCACTGCCACCATAATCATTCATGCCCGTATCCAAGTGTAACGCATCAACTTTACCCGATATGACGTCCAGCAATGAAACTGTTGGCTGGGCGGAGGAGTACGCGGTCGATGCCACTTGGGGTGGTGGTGGCGGTGGGGCACACTGTGGCATTGGTGGCGACGGTGGTGTCGGCAAATCCGAATATAGCCCCGTCAAACCATTCGCTGATGATGTTGGTTTCGCCAATGTTGGCGGTTTGGGAGCTTTCGGTTTTTGTGAGATTTTCGGTTTGATAATTGTGGGCATATTCAACGTCGGCGCTGGTGGCACCAGGCTTTTACCATTACACAGCGGATTATCGGGAGTGTTTTGTACACGTGTATTGACCACACTGAGATTTCGAACGGGTGCCGTACCAATTTGACCATAGCGTGGTGCCGCCGCCGCCTGATGAACAGCCGCCGGATCAGGTGGCCCAAAGGCATCTATCGTTTCCCAGGGATCTAGGGGAGATGTTGTTGCTGGTCGAGAACGTCCACCGCCAGCAGCCGCTGCGGAAAAATCATCTTCAAAGCCACTTTCCGGTTGGGAGACACTACCATTTTGGGGTGAACTGAAATTGGAATCGGAACTAAAGCTATCCACACTAAGGCAATCGCTGTTGGATTTTTGGGTAAATGTGGGTGAGCTTGGTGGTGAATCGAAGCTAATGAGTTGCGGTTCACCGTTTTGGGTTGTTGTGTGGGTGGTGGTACTACTACCATTCTGTGGGGTATTCCAGGCACTTTTCCAAGAATTTGTGTTATTGTTAATGGTTGTAACCGTTGTGGAGTTGGCCGTTGAACCCGTCACCGCTGTGCCATAAGTGGCCGTACCATAAATCCTGGCCGAGGAATTCGGTGTTGGTGCCCTTGAGGACTTTTTGCGATGAAAAATAGTGCTCAATATCTTTGAACCGCTGGATGAATGCTGAATGGAAGTAGCGGGTGGGGGAGGTGGTGTGGGTGCAGGATTCTTTTTGGGTTGTATTTTGGGTGGTGGTGGCCGTGGTGGTGGTGGCTTTTTACCACTGGTTGTTGTTGTTGTCGAGGTTGTGCCCACCCCTCCCAACAGATCGAATGGTGAATCATCCCAATTGGTAGCCGGGGCATAACGTGCCTGAGGAAATTTTCGGGTTATCGAACCATTGGCAGCACCAATGCCATTTATACCACCATTCTGTGGCGGCTGAGGAACTTTCGGCGGTGGTGGTAATTTGATTAGCTTCGCTCCAATGGAATTTTGCCTTTGCAACTGTTGTTGTTGCTGCAATTGTAAACGCAATTGTTCAAGACTTGCATTGGCTGTGGCGGCGGCAACTTGTGCCCGGGATCCTGGTGGTGCCGGTGCTGGTCGTGTTGGTAGGGTCATAATTTATGATAATTCAATGGAGACGACAGTGTGAAGCCTTTTTCGAACTGCTATTGAAAACTATTTTGTTGTTGTTGTGGTTGTCAACAATGCGAAACTGCAAATAGAAAGAGAGAGAGAGAGAGAGAGAGAAGATGTAAATTAGCTAATGTGACAATGTAAACAATGGGGAAGGAGGTTAACAAATATGTGTCAGATTTTAAAGTGAGGTTAAATTTAATGCAAAAAAAAAGAAACACAAATTGCGGAATCAGTTAACACTAGGGTGATAATTGGGTTTACTCTTGAACTTAAACGAGATTAAATTAAACAAACGTGTGGGAGAATATTGTGGTTTTTATATAAAGACCAGCAGTCTCTTATACAGTGCCACACATAAGTATTGGCACAATCATCAATTTTTAACTTGACCGCTATTTTTCAGCACCGTCTCCCAGTCTACACAAAAAAAATATTTTTCCGAAAGAACCCATGTTGTTACTTAACTAATGCAGAAATTTTTATTTGAAAATTTTTTTTAAAACTTTTTTATATTTTATTTAACAAAAAAATAAGGCAATTTCATCGCACAAAAGTATTGGCACACTTATATTTATATCTTAAATATATAAAATATTTGTCTATTTAGTACTTTGTTGGCAAGCCCTTTTGCTTGATTACTGCGTCCAAACGGTTTGGCATGGAATGCACTAATTTCTTGGTAGTTTCCTCCCCTATTTTTTGCCATTCTTCTATAAGTGCCTGCTTAAGTTCTGACTTATTGGAAATGGGCCGCCTTTTTACACGTCTGTCCAGTTCCTCCCACAAATGCTCAATGGGGTTGAGGTCTGGAGATTGCGGTGGATGTGGCAGGACATGTGCGATATTCATTGTTAGCCACATACGCACATCATGAGCAGTATGTTTCGGATCATTGTCCTGTTGAAATGTAAATGACCTCGGTAGATTCAGTTTGTTCGCGCTTTTTTTTACGTTTTCCTTTAAAATATTTAAATAAACTGTTTTGTCCATAATGCCATCTATGAAGACCAGCTCACCGACCCCCGCAGACGACATGCAACCCCATACCATAACTCCTCCTCCACCGTGTTTGACAGTAGGTGCAAGATTTTTTTTTTCATATGCCGTATTGGGCTTTCTCCATACAGTAGAGCGGCCATCAGAACGGAAAATGTTGTACTTACTCTCATCCGAGAATAGCACTTGGTCCAAGAAGCTGTTCGGTCGGCTCCCATATTCTCTTGCGTAGGCTAGGCGCTTCTTCTGGTTCTTTAAAGAAATAAGCGGCTTACGTCTAGCAACTCGGGCACTATAATCAGCCTCATGGAGCACTCTTCTGACCGTCATGGGATGAATTTTCTTTCCAGTCTCCTCTTGAACTTCAGCTGTTAATTGTGTTGATGTTTTTTTGGGGTCCTTTTTAATTTCTCGCACTATCTTTTGACGCTCCCGGTCACTTAAAACTCGTGGACGGCCAGGGCGTTTTGCGTTTTGTAAATTTGATTCGCCTTTAAACCTGTTGACGATGCTTCGAATTGTGAAACGGCTTCTGTCCATCATTTGGCCGATCTCAGCAAACGATTTTCCTTGGCTGTGAAGGTGCATTATAATTTTTCGCTCAGATACACTCGTTTCTTTTTTCTTTGGAACCATTTTTTGTATTTTCTGCATTTAATTTTACTCCTTTAACAAAAACTTTAAATAACGGTAAAATGACACGGTAGATAATTTCAGGAACAAATTGCTACGAACAAAGCAAAAGGGTATACAATTTTAGGAACCAATATTTTTGCAAAAAGAGTTGCCAGCTGGCACAAATTAGGAAAAAATATAATAGATCATGTAAGTGTGCCAATACTTTTGTGCGATGAAATTGCTTTATTTTTTTATTAAACAAAATATAAAAAAGTTTTAAAAAATTTTTTTGAAATAAAAATTTCAGCATTAGTTAAGTAACAACATGGGTTCTTTAGGAAAAATATTTTTTTTGTGTAGACTGGGAGACGGGGCTGAAAACAAGCGGTCAAGTTAGGAATTGATGGTTGTGCCAATACTTATGTGTGGCACTGTAAATACCAATAGTCCAAATGGTCTTTATGAACACCTGTAGTCTCGTTTTAGAACAAATTGTCTTTCAGATACATATCAAGAATACACATCTTTATAATTAAATTCAAGGTTCCTGGTGTATTTTTCAATCAAGGTGGTCTTAGAAGTCCTAGAGGTATTTTTCCAAAATAAAAGGCTACAATTTTAATTTTTGCGATTATCAGAGGATGGAAGACCACCTGGTAGAAAATTGTTTACTTCAAGACCAGGCATTCTTCCAATCTAAAAAGCCGTCATTTGGAATTTTGCGATACTCTGAGGGTAGAAGACTTCTAGACAGAATTATTGTACTACAGGACTATGTTTTACCGCAGCTCCCACATTTTATACATTCCCAAGGTTCTAGAGGTATTTTTTCCAACGTATAAGGCTTTCATTTGGAATTTGGCGATTCTCAGAGGATATTTTTACCACAGGACCATGTTCTAACATAGCTCGCATATACTAATTAAGCCTTACTTTAGGTATTACAAAGGTCCTGCAGGTATTTTCCACCAGAAATGGCTGTCATTTTGAATTTTTGAGATTCCCACAGGATAGAATACCTTATGGCAGAAAATTTTTACTTTAGGATCATGTTCTAACATAGCTCCCATATAAAAGTTCCGCCTCATTTTACACATTTAAAGGGATCTAGAGATAATTTTCCAACATAAGAGGCCAACATTTTAATTTTTGAGATTCTCAGAGGATGGAACACCTCCTTGTAGAACATTTTTTACTTTAAGTATATGTTCTAACATAGCTCCCACATGAAAGTTCCGCCTGCTTTAAAACATGTCCAAGGTCCTAGAGGCATTTTCCAACGTATAAGGTTTTTTATTTGGAATTTGGCAATTCTAAGAGGATAGAAGACCTCCTGGCTGAATATTTTTTCAAAAGTCCTGGAGGCATTTTTCAAACCAAAATGGCTGTCATTTTGCATTTTTGAGAAAACCTTATGGCAGAAAATTTTTACTTTAGGATCATATTCTAACATAGCTCCCATGTAAAGGTTCCGCCTCAATTTAGGTATTTTCAAAATCCTCGGCTCATTTGTCAAGCGAATAGGCTGCAGTTTGACATTTCAGGTCCTCAGAGAATAAAACAGATTATCAATATAGGTATATGTTGTGTAATCGCCCTGACATATATATTAAAACTCACAAGACACATTTTCCGACCGAAGTGGATTCGGGTTCTTAGAGGAGAAATAGCTCCATGCAAACAAGTTCAATATGAGTCAGTACAACCCAAGGTATTTTTTATAAGGTAGCCGCATCGGCCCAGTTGTTGGACAAATAAATGTGAAAAATGTTGTTGCAATGTTGAACCAAAAAATTAAAAAACAAAATTATAAATGAAAATCTCCGAATTTCGAAGAGCTTTTTTGGCAATACTTCTATTAACATTTTCTACAACAACCGATGTTTGTTGTAGAAATTCGCCGATGCGGCTACCTTGTATATCTACCTTGGTACAACCCATACACATGTCCCGTCACTTTTTATGTTTTTAAAGTCATTGGCGCATTTTCTAATTTAAGTGGCAGTATTTTTTGTGGTTGTTATTTTTTTTCTTCTTTCAGTTGTTATCTCTCTCGGTGTTGTTTGGCTTAGTCAAGGCCTACTAATAAGGCTATCCAGGGTGACCAACTGGATTATCATATTCGATAATATAAAAATACAAATATTTTGGCCTGTTTTTCTATTTTGGCGTTTTTTTCTATTTTGACGTTTTTTCTATATTGGCGTTTTTTTATTATTATATTAATATTTTTGTGATTTTTTATATATTTGCGCTTTTATCAGAAAAAAAAGTTGGTGACCAACTGGATTATAATATAAAAATATTGGTTTACAGACTGTAAACAAATATTTTGGCTTGTTTTTTCTATTTTTGCGTTTTTTTCGATATTGGCGTTTTTTCTATTTTGACGTTTTTTCTATATTGGCGTTTTTTATTATTGTATTATTATGTTTGTGATTTTTTATATACGGTGTCTCATATGATTTTGAGATTTTTTCCATATTGACGTTTTTATCAGAAAAAAACTTAGCATCACTATTAGTTATCAAAAGGAAATTGACAGCAGTTGCAATATCAATCATGTCACCCCTTTGCAAATGCAAATGGCATAACGGTGTCACATATAGTTTTGAAAGAGAGGAAGTGAGAGAGAGAAATTATCAATTCATAGAGATTGTAATAACATGGAGATTTAAATGAGTTGCCATATCATTTCTTTGGATAATTTTATCACAAAATCAAATGATATTTTCTGTATTTTACTAATGTTATTGCTGACATTCAATTTCATAACTTATAATAAGAAAACAAAATCAAAATTACATAGCGGCTTTGCAAATCAGCTGTTTTTTGCCTGGGATTTATTGATCGTTTGAAATTATTGTCAATGAAATGTGACATATGGCAATCGAAAGTGAGTCTTTATTAAAAAAAAAATAAAATATTACCAAAATTGTTTGCGTTTTTTAAGAACATTTTATAATATTTTTCAATTATTTAATACTATCTGTTATTGTTGTAGTTGTAATTGTAATTCACTTATTTACCACCAACATGAAAGTGAAATCTCTTAATAACAATAAAAACGTGAGTGTGGTTGTTTCTTTCTTTTTTAATTACACTTTCTATAAAATTACTTGTACTTTTAAAAAATAACAAACAAACCTACAACTTCTTATTATTACGCGCATACTAGATTAGCCGCTGTTCAATTGAATAATAATGGGCAGAGCAGCAATGGCTTGTCAATTGTGTGTGGTTAGCTGGTTGGTTGAAAGAAACCCCCCAAAAAAGAAACATAACCACCAGACATGACTGGCAGGCAGTCGTCCACCATTACCTCATTAGAAATACACATGTTTTGTTGGAAGCTTATTCCGATTTTTTTATAATTTTTATTTAGTCAGTCAGTAATGACTCACATTTTATGTTGTTGATGGTGGTGGTGGTGTTTTCTGTGATTGTTGTTATTTTTGTGAAAACATTATTATGGTTTTGGAATTTTTGCTTTACTGTGGTTGTTATTTTTTTTTTCTTCTTTTTTTTCAAGTTGTTATCTCTCTTGGTGTTGTTTTTTGTGGCAGTAATCTTGTGGAAAAGGGGTTATTAAAATGTTATTTTTTTGGTATGAAAAGAAATATATTGACGATTTGTTTCTATATTCTATATTGGCGTTTTTATGAGAAAAAAGTTGGCATCACTATAACCTTCCAAAGCAAATTAACAGCAGTTGCAATATCAATCGTATCATCTCTTTGCTAATGCAACTAACATAACGGTTTCATGTAGTTGTGAGCACTATTCAGCTTCATATAGAGTCTGTAAACAAATATGTTGGTGATTTTTTTTTCTATATTGGCGTTTTTATCCGAAAAAGTTGGCATCACTATTAGCTACTAAAGCAAATTGACAGCAATTGCAATATCAATCATGCCATCTTATTGCTAATGCAACTGACATAACGGTATCATGTAGTTGTGAGCACAACTCGCCATTAGGAATAAATAAAAAGAGATAACATATTAATTTGTCATATTTTATCATGCTCAGTACGTAAACAAATATTTTTGACGATTTGTGAGCACAACTCGCCATTAGGAATAGAGAAAAAGAGATAATATATTAATTTGTCATATTTTATCATACTCAGTACGTAAACAAATATTTTTGACGATTTTTTTTCTTTATTGGCGTTTTTATTCGAAAAAAAGTTGGCATTACTATAAGCCATCAAAGGCAATTGACAGCAATGCAATATCAATCATGCCTTCTCTTTGCTAATTCAACTGGCATAACGGTGTCATATACTTATGAGTGCTATTCAACATAAGAAATTGAGAGAGGGAGAAAAGGAAAGAGAAAGGGAGAAATTTTCAACTCATGGAGATTGCAATGGCAAGGAGATTTAAATGAGCTGTCATATCATTTCTTTGGGTAATTTTATCACAAAATATGATGACATATTTTCGTATTATACCAATGGTATTTTTGTTGTTGTTGTTGGTTAGTGGTTTTTCTACTGAGGTTATTTACAAAGTAGAAATACCACAATTAATGACATTCGTGTTTATCCTACATAACAAATAACTGACCCTGTGGCATTGCAAATCAGCTGTTTTTTTTTTTTGCAAGGGATTTATAGATCGTTTGAAATGAGTTTCAATAAAACGTGACATTTGAAATGTCAAAAAGATTTAAAATTCACAATGGTTATTTTTTAAAGACAATTTTTTGTAAATGTTCTTTTCTCATAACCCTTTCATGTTTTTTCTCATTAAAGTTATTATATTTTCTGCTATTTTCTTTTGGTCAGCCGGCAAACGAAAGACCCCTCTGTCCCTACACTGAAATTGATTGATGTCAATTTTTGGGTTGTTTGTCATTATTACTACTATTATTATTATCAAAAGGGTGTGTATGTGTGCTATGCACTTGAACGATTGGCCACAAGTCATTGCTGTTTGGATTTCAGAAAAAATCAAGGGATGAGGGAAATTTTTTTTCTGTAATGGCTTTACTGACACCCAAAGTCAAAATCCGCTGAGTACAAACAAGGTAATAAGAAACAGTTGTTATTGTATTTTTGTTAAGATACCATAACAATTTGTCTGTGGCTTGGCCCTGTGCCGTTAACAAAAATTTCTTTTAATTCATAACTTTTTGAGTGTGCGGTTACTACTATTGTTGTTGTTGTAAAATAAAATCAACAAAAAGAAGAAAACAATAAATAAAAATAAACCAAATAATAAATGAATGAATGACCTTGAGGCTATTTTTTTTATTTTGTACCCAACACCACCAATTACTCAAATAATTGAAATGAACAAACATTTGGACACACACACACAAGCTCCGTGCGCCCAATTCAATATTTTTTGCAAAAATAAATTTTTGTTTAATACAAAAAAAAAAGTTTGCAAAATAAAACTTTGAAGGCAAGGCACTAAAAAAACAAATATCGTTAAAATTGAAATATTGAAATTTAAATGGATTTGTTTATTCATGAATTGGGCAAATAATTGGCATGCAATTTGTAGGTTGTTTCAATCGCACAAGCTATGACGTAGAAAGGAAATTCTGGAAAATATGAATGGGGTGAGATGTTTCGAATTTTATGGAAGGAGAAAGCAGACAAGTTTTCTAATGAAAAAAAAAAAAACATTAATACTTTTTCCTACAAATAGGAAATTAACTGACCTGCTATGAACGGAATTTATATTTGCAGCTCAGTCTTTGCCATTTGAGATAAGGATAAGTTAAATTAGTTCAAGTAGTTCTTAAAATATATTGCTTTAAAATAAAAGCAGATTTGAAATAAAAATCAAACCAGGATGTTAAGACGTACAACCTCAGCCAAATTTGGTCCTTCGAGTCGGATGACAACACCTCCAACAATCAGGTTATATATTTAATTATTATGGGAAGTTGGTCCTTCTAGCCTGTTAATATGTGGTTCTTCGAATCGGATGACAAAACTACCTCTACAAGTCTTCTAATGAAAAAATCACAAACTGGTATTTAATACTTTTTTTCCTACAAATAGGAAATTAACTAACCTACTTTGAACGGATTTTATATTTGCAGCTCAGTCTTTGCCATTTGAGATAAGGATAAGTTAAAGTAGTTCTTAAAGTAAATTGTTTTAAAACAAAAGCAGAATTGAAATAGCAATCAAACCAGCCTTCGAGCCGGATGACAACACCTCCAACCAGCAGGTTATATGTTTAATTCTTATAGGAATTTGGTTCTTCGAGCCTGTTAACATGTGGTTCTTCGAAGCGGATGATAAAACCTCTGCCTGTTGACATATGCATAAGATTGATTTAGAAATGTAAGAGAATTCCCTAAAAAATTCCTATTATTGAAGATATTCTAATTTCAAACTTTCTCCAAGTATTTTAAGAGTTCACAGTAGGAATTGAATGGGTTAAATTTTATAACCAACTTTTTGGAAATAATTACATTTATCTGTGTCATCGAATACCACGCCATTTGTCGTTTATAATGCAAAAACCGCTTTAAATCCAAATTGGTTTGCAAAAATCAAGCGATTATTGATGTTTATCCGCAACATTGAAAACATTTGATCCACAACATTTTTTATAGAAAAACTTTGATTCGAAATATCTCCTATAGAAAAATATACTCACAATAGGACATGTCTAACTAACTCTCCGTTATAATTTCATTTTGTGTTATTGTTTGTAATAAATTTACATTATTTATCTCTGGATAGCTGTCAGATGATGTAATTTTTTATCCAGTAAGAGCATTCCCAAAAATTTCCTAGAAAAATGGCTAGAATTAAAAATATTCTAATCTCGAAGTTCCGCCAAGTATATTTTATCCGAAACCTTTTATATTATATTATAGAAATTTTTTATGAAACCATTTTTACACAAAAATACTTTTCATACAAAAAAAAATCGCATCATTTTCTATGGGAAACATTTTCTATAGAAAACGATTTTCAATAAAAAATGTTTTTTTTTTTACCAACTCTTTAGGCAAGAGGTTATTAACGGCCTCTTCGTCCTAATTCTGCCTCTACCAAATTCAATAGTCATTTTATCCCAGAATGAACAGTGGCCATGTGCCATAACTTTTATGTGTGTTATCGATTTACTTGTGTTATCACTTATCAGTAGATGTCACTCCATTTGGCATATCAAAGCAGAAAACGCTGTAATATTCAAGTTGCCTTATTGTTCTGCAAAAAAACTACATTACTTATCCATGTAAAGCTTCCAGATGATGTAATTTTCACCCATTCAGAGCATTCCCTAAAATTTCCTAAAAAAATTCTAGAATTAATGATATTCTAATCTCAAACATTTCCAAGTATTTTGTGAAGTTTTCGGAACTCATAATATGTGTTAAATGTATAACGAAGTGTGTGGTATTTAACCATCCACCTATTTTTTTTTAAAGAATCCTTAATAAATCCTTCGAGAAACAACTATAAAATCTTTTTTTAACGAATCCTTTCAGACGCAGTATATTTACTTAAAGTAGGTTTACATTGTACCGGATTTCGTTAACCCAGTGGGTTTCAATTGTCAATTCCATTGTATACATGTCAAATAAATCCTCATATAGTAGGTTAACCCTGTAAAACGTTCTAATGTAAATGCCGTTTTATCCCAGAGCAAACAGTACTCTTTTAACGGCGTTATCGATTTACTTGTGTTATCATTTATCAGTGGATACCACCATGCCATTTGGCATTTACAATGCAGAAAGCCGCTATGAATTCAAATTGCCCTATTGTTTGCAAAAAATACTAAATTATTTATCCATGGATAGCTTCCAGATGATGTCATTTCTTCATCCACTTCTTTCCATAGATGGATGCCTTGCTCTAATCATCCCCCGGCAACAATAAAACTCTTTATATATTCGCATTAGTTAAATGAAAAACAAATTAAAGGAAAATGGAACGAATGTCTGGTAGTGGAATTCTTACAAATGCAAAAAAAAACAACAACAAGAAAAGCTAAAAGTCAAAAGCCTACTGGGGTTCTTATCATGGAAAAATTTTCAGTTGAAAAAAAAAACATTTCCATATATATTTTTTTCTTTCAATTAAATCTTCGAGTCTCCAGCAATATTTAAATCATATTAAATATGTATTAAAAAAATAACAATTATGACGTTATTGAGATTCCATTAACAAATTATTTCAATTTTTTACAAAAAAAAAATAAATAAATAAATGTCGAATTTGATAAAGAACAACCACATAGCATGCCTTTTACATACCATTGACCCAGTGTTGCCAGTTTAGGGGATTTATCCCCAAACTGGGGATTTTTTTCTGAAAATGGGGATTAGTTTTTTGGTTTGGGGATCTGGGGATTTTATGGGGATTAAAATTTGAAAGGTTGGTGCAAAATATTTTACCATAACTAAAAAGAGTGATGGCAATTCTGGACAATGTCTCTATTTTCTAACACTAACCAACGATAACGTCGAACAATTTTGGACTGGCAAGTCTATGTGTTTGTTTTTGGCAACTGTTGCCATAGTATGCAAATGTTGGTAATGATGGCATCAAAAATTACAACAACTGTCTTGTAAACACATATACTAAGACAGGTTTTTGTTTATGATGGCAACAATTCAAAAATAAATGATCATAGTAACACATGCATTTGTTTGGTCCAATTCATAGAAACACTTCGGCTGACGCAATTATAGTAAAATTATATTTAATCGTTTACAATGGCTGCAAAAGTTGGTCACTGCACAAAAAAGCATAATATAGCATGGGAACGTGAAAGTTGGGCTCAAGGTATGCAATTTGAGAATATTTGTTTTCTATTGGTAAACGAATTTGTTTTTAGGATGGTTGAAATCCATTGCTTCGGCACCAGAACCATTTCAAATAACCAGCAATTCTGCAAATAATTCTTGGTGTGTGGCATGCAAAAGTTCACTAAAATCTCAAAAGAAGGATCTGAAGAGGCATAGTGAATCAATCAAACATAAACAGAATTTTGATTCACTTTATGCAAGAAATACATTAGATAACTATGGTAATTTGTAATATTTATAATTTACGCATAACTTTTAATAATGCTCGATATAAATACATATTTATTACAGGTGTTGTTCCTGAGACAAATGACTCTAGAATTATTGATATAAAATTATCAATTTTTACAGCCAAGCATGCTTCTATACTGTCTGTTGACCATTTAACAAACATGCTCAAATCTCTTTCAATTAAGGAATTTGAAAAATTGAGACTGCATCGCACAAAATGTAGTGCTATTATAAAATATGTCATAGCTCCCACATTACTTGCTGAACTTGTAAACGATATTGGTGATTCTAAATACTCCTTGATAGTTGACGAATCAACAGACATATCAAGACACAAATGGATGAGTCTTTGCGTCCGTTATTTAAGTAAAGGTAAACGGACAATATTAACAGAATTCTTGGGATTATTTCTTGTGGAGGAGGCAACAGCAGAAAAACTTTTCGAAGGTTTAAATGGATATTTGAAGAAGGTAGGACTGAAATCAGATAATATACTAGCCATTGGCACAGACGGTGCCAACAATTTATGCGGTAAACATAAAAGTTTATAGACCTATTACAAAATGATAATCCGCACCTAATTCTTATAAAGTGTTCATGCCACTCTTTACATTTATGCTGTTCCGAGGCTTCTAAAGAATTTCCACCAGATGTCGAATTTCTAATAAGAGAAGTATATAATTACTTTAGCAACAGTCCTCTAAGGATATTAAAATATAAACGTGCATTTGATTTAATAAATTCGGGCTTTGACGCAATCAAATTTAAAAAGCTCGTCCAAATATCTGCGACCAGGTGGTTGTCCTATGGTTTGGCTGTTAAAAGAGTGCTGGAGCAGTGGATTGAACTTAAATATCATTTTTCAATTATTTCCACAGCTGATTCTGAGAAAACAGCACAAATTATTTACAACTTAATGTGCAATGATGAAATTAGGCTATACTTGATTTTCATGAATCCTATTTTAAATGAAATGAATAGTCTAAAC